CTAAAAGTTGTGTGGTGGACGGTGTGCCAAATCGAAATCACGTCAAAAGTTCGACTACGAAAACACAAAACAAATCACAACTCGGTCAAAACACAATATCTTTGAAAACAGAGATAGGATTCGGAGTTCTTACCACGAGATCTACACTTTTTCCAACAGCAGCGTCGGACGAAAAGCGCTCCGCGGCCTCCAAAATCCAGCTTTCCTCTTTTTCCCTTTCTCTTTCTCTCTCTAAAATCAGATATTTTGATTTAAAAATGATTTTCTCTCTCCTCAAAACGAGCTGATTTTCTTATATCATTAGGCTGATCGGCCCGGCCGATCGCCAAATCGTCCCGGGACGATCAGACCAAAATCGATCGTCCTAGACGGTTCCCAGAACTTGTTTCAGGACGATATTTTGAACAGTGCAGATCGGCCTGGCCGATCTCACTATCGTCCCGGACGATTCTGGGAGGAAAATCCAAGCCAGAGAGGAACAGTAAGGGAACGAGGTCTCATAGCTTTACATGTAATTTTGTTCTTATCTTTAATATATGGGCTTAGGCCCCAAAATTTCTCAAAAAAAAAAAAAATATGTATATATAAGCATACAATATTATATATAACTTATTCTAGGAGTAAGGTATGATAGAAAAAAATAATTCAAAAATAAAATATGGATAACAGTCAAAAAATCTAAATCGAATAAAAACATAATAGCGAATAAACAATGTAAAAATAAAATGGAAGTATGGAACAAATTAAAATATGATCATTATGATACACCGAGACAATTTTTTGTGTTTGCTCATATGTTCGATTAAGCAGTAACTTAATATTAATGATAATATTAAACTTCTCTTTTTATTTGATGTTAATAGTGTTCTATTTTTAAAAAATTAATGGCACTAGATTTTTGTTTGTTATGGTGATCAGTTTTTAAATCTTTCGTTTACTATTTTTCATTTTGCTATATGATTTCTGTAATATGATTTTGTGTGAATAAAAAAATATTATTCTTCTAATTTGTTCTGATACCTGGCTTGTAGAAGACGTTGGATCCATTTCTTGAAGAGCTGGCTTGTAGAATACGAATTCATTGATTCTTACTTGCAGAATCTGGCAGAAACGAATCTGAAAACTTACGTTATTAAAATAAACAATTATACGATAATGATATTGCAAGGAAGGTCCCTCTTTGAACTTTTTAAAATTCGTTGGAATACTTGCATGGCTCAAATTTCTTTAGAATTCTTTGATGAGAAAGGCACAGCCACATACCTTGCTGTCCGCAGTTGCTTTGATTCCCTGCTGAACTTGCTTATAAATATTCTCTTGCTCTTCTCTCCATCTCCATCACTCAGACTTCGATAAAACTTACCAGTAGCATCCTGCGAACTGTTCTCGATCCTTCTTCAGCAAGCTCAAAATGGCGATGATCTTGGACGCTTTTATGAGCAAATTCTCTGCTTTGCTCGCTGATTTGGTATATGAAGAGGTGATCATGCAGCTGGGTGTGAAGGACGAGCTTCACAAGCTACGTCAACGGATGAGGAGCATCCAATGCCTGTTGAAAGATGCTGAAAAGAAAAAGTTTGATGAGTCAGCCATCGAACTCTGGTTTGCTGAGCTTAAGGATGTGATGTATGATGCCGAAGATATCATTGACCTCTGTAGAATTGAGGGCACTCAGCTGCTCACTGATCAAAATCCCAAATCTAAAACTTCTTTGGTATGTTGCGATTTCTCATCTGCCTTCTCCTGTTTCACTAGTGTTCCTTTGCGTCATGACATTGGAAACAGAATTAAAGATATTAATGGTAGACTCAACCAGATATATGAAGATAGAAAACATTATAAACTAGAGAAATCCACAATATCGAAAACCCCACAAATTAATTTACTTGATTCTCGTCAAACTTCTTCCATGGTTGATCCTTTTATTGTGGGAAGAGAGGTCGAGGTTGCAGCAAATAGTTTGGTTGATCATTTGCTTGGGGACATGGTTGATGAAAAATGCCGCCTTTTTGCTATTACCGGTATGGGCGGGGTGGGGAAGACTACTCTGGCTCAAAAAGTTTTTAACCATCCGAAAATTCAAACCTATTTCAATGTAACAGTGTGGGTTTGTGTTTCACAGACTTATTTAGAAACTGAGTTATTGAAGCAAGTAATAAGAGGGGCAAAGGGGAACTATGGGGATTCTAATACTAAAGAAGAGTTGCAACGCATTCTTAGAGATTCTGTTACTTCAATTCAGAGCCTTTTTCTTGTTTTAGATGATGTGTGGGAATCAGACGTGTGGATTAATTTGTTTAGAGTTCCATTCTACAACTCTAACAGGAGTGTTAGAGTCTTAATCACCACCAGAGATGAAAATATTGTGAACAAGATGCAGATAGCTTACATTCATTCTGTGACGTATCTATCTGAAGAGAGCAGTTGGGATATGCTTCGTAGGAGGCTTTTCTTAGAGGAACAAGAGGAGCTAGCGAATGGCTTGAGGGAGCTAGGATTAATGCTAGTAAACAAATGTAAAGGCCTTCCTCTTGCAATCAAAGTCATTGCTGGTGTTCTTTTGAGTAAACCACGAAATAAGAAAGCGTGGAAAAATTTTCTCAATGATAATGCATGGTTCATTTACAACCTTCCTGGGGAGCTTAGTGGTGCTTTGTACCTAAGTTTTGAAGATCTACCTTCACATCTGAAGCAATGTTTTCTATACTTCTCTTTATATCGTGAGGATGCCCAGTTAGATCCCCATGAGTTTGCTCAGCTTTGGGTGGCTGAAGGATTCATAACAAAGCAACAAGATTCATTAATGGAAGATTTAGCAGAAGAATGCTTCAATGAGTTACTCAATCGAAATCTTTTGCTGCCAAAAGATTATGATGGTAAGTGTCGAATGCATGATCTTATCAGATCTCTAACCATTTTTTTATCTAAAGAAGAGACTTCTTTTGGAGATTTGAATGTGAGGAACTCCACCAGATCCATCAAGCTTCGTCGCATATCAGTTGCAAATCAAGAAGCAGCAGTTGAAATACTCGATTGTATTGCAGATCAGGGAGCCCTAAGAACATTGCTTGCTTCATCTTCTGATCTATTATTGGATGATGAAAGATTGAGGCGACTTTCGCATCTACGTGTCTTAGACATTTCCCATACACAAATTCAAATACTTCCTGACTCTATAGGAAAGCTAGTGCACTTGAGATATCTTAATTTGAATCATACACATATAACGACAATACCAAAATCCATAGAGCAATTAACAAATTTACAATTCTTGGACATAAGTTTTTGCAAAAAATTGGGACAACTTCCTAGTGGAATCACTCAGTTACATAATCTAAGGCGCCTCGATATTTTTCAATCTCCTGTTTGTTTCCATAAAATCATGCACTCAGCTTCCGTCATTAGGTCAGCTGCCTGAACTTAAAGAGCTTTCTATTGAAGATGCGACCAAAATAAAGAAAATTGGGCCAGAATTTCTTGGTAGTGATGTCAATTCAACCAGAATTGCTTTCCCCAAGCTTGAACGACTTCAAATCTTGAACTTCCCTGAGTTGGAAGAATGGTCTTTTGGCACAGAAGTTGAGCAAAATACATCTCCAAGACTTAAGTTGCTTCCATGTTTACAAAAACTAATAATCAGGAATTGCCCATTGTTTAAACAACTTCCAGAAGGTCTAAAGTACTCTTCTATGAAGTCTCTCGAGATAGTTGGAGCTAGAAGACTAAAATCAGTTGACAATCTCTCTGCTAAAATTGAGGAACTACATTTAAGTTACTGTGAAAAATTGAAAGTGGTATGTTGTGCCCCTACGTTAAAGACGCTCGAAGTTCAAGAGTGCAAAGCTTTGTCTTGCGTGAAGAAGCTTGATTCATTGCAGAAATTATCTTTCAATGATTTTGAAGAGGAAAGCCTTCCAGAGTGGCTATTGAAGTTTCTTCAACAACGGGGATTGCAAAATGATTCTAATGATGATTTCCTGCTTGACTTGTACTGTAGTGATGAGGTTATTCAAAAATGCATAAAAGGAGGTTCTTATTGGGACCTAATTCAACACATTCCACGAGTAAAAATGTTCTCGGTATCAGAGCTTGTCAATGCAGTAAGCAACCTTATATTTCCCATGCAAATCTTTAATTAATTAAATGTAGACTACTCTTTTGATATTTAATATTTGATTGTAATTTGTTATGTTTATGTGTATGTGGGTTGAGTAGTTTATTTTCTGCTTTTTGGTTTTATTTATATTCATGTTAGCTTGTATAAGAACTATTGTAAATAGAATGATTAGTTATTTGAACTTCTATTTATGAATTGGCTGTGTATTTCACTTTTTTTGTTTACTCTGATTATACACACACACATGTACCGCCTTCTGGACATGGAGTGTGACATTGTGCCATAGTACTTACTGTTTGTATGCTTTGCTTAGTTTGTATGGGGCCATATTTCTTCACAATTGGATTACTTCTACTTCTTATTATATAATAAGTTATTTGTAAGCTTTTCAAGGATTAATAAGGTATGCTTGCGTTATGCATTCAGAAAATGTTTGTTAAAACTTAATAGTTTTTAATCGTATACATATTAATTTTTTTTAATTTTTAGAATTTTTAATTATATTTAATAAAATGATCCTAAAAAATTAAAAACATTGATAAATAACAATTTAAAAGTCAAGAAAAGAAGTCATTAAAGATATTGTTTCCATCTATATAAATAGCAATGATTGGAAAGCCAATGGGTCACACTATTTCCCATTTTTAATGTCATTCATTCTTTTGAATAATATGAGGATATGATGCAAATTCTATATTTGAGAAGGGTACTGTTGATGGAAGCAATTCCTCCCGCCTTTCCTGCGCTTGAATCCCCTAAACATCCAAAAAAAAAACATTTGAATTTTTTTTCCATAAATTTACTTTAGATCATTATCATACTTAGTAGCACTTTTTTTATTATTAAACAAAAAATTGCCACCGTACTATAGTGTAAATCAAATGTTATAATTATGGTGTGGAATTATGGAGACAAATTTTCTCGTGATAAAATATTTTGTAGGTCAAAGATGAAAATTTTATTTAAGCATAATTTTTTACTAATCCATTTTTATGGAATGTTTTTTTATTATCTATGTCCTTGTATCCAACTTTGTATGAAGTATTCTTGAACATCTATTCATGTTTAGAGAATTATTATAGATAACACTTTATCTATGAAATTAAAAAAAAAATAAATAATTTTCCAATTTTGTTAATTGTTGCTTTTTGGAATGTTTTGCTTATAATTATTGAATCGAATACAAATAGATAAAATATGTTGCAACATACACCATTTCTTTTAAATGAAAAACCTGATAATATAAAAAATTCACAAGGTATAAATGTAGAAAATATGAAAGAAAGATTATAAGTTTGCTCTTTCACTTAATTGAAAATAATAGAATTACAAAGTTGAGAGTAATGGATTGGTGAAAACATTGTGAAGGATAATGATAATGATTAAAAGACATTGTAGCAGAGCTCTAATCTTCTCCTAAAGAGAGGTAGATTGTCCCTATTTAGACTTATTGAAATTAAGATACAAAGGGTTACCAATCTCTATGATGGAGCTCTGATTTTCTCATGAAAAAACTTGATTCTATTATTAATATTTTTAATATAATTTAAAATTTTAAATATTATATAAATAAATATTAAAAATTAATTATTAGATAATTCTGAGGAATTTGTGTGGTTTGTGTAAATTCCCATAGGTCATTTTGAACACAATTTATAATTCCCATCATTCTTTGCACTTCACTACTACAATCCTTTTATATAGAAAATATATATTCTTCACAAAACTAGCTTTCTTTGTTTCCACCTTCAAATTCATAAGGTTATATCTAGAAATATAACATCAGGATTATTGGCACTAATTTTGAGCCTAATAACTTGATTATCTAGTTTAATAACTTTCAATGAAGATTTAATCATTTGCCAAATTTGATTATCTAGTTTAATAACTTTGATTATGCAATAATCAAAGTTATATGAGTGAGTGGTAGTAATGACAATCAAATATTTATTCATAAGCTAGGATTATTTAGTGTATAAAACACATATTGCCTATGATCCTCATAGGAGATGTTGTGTGTAGGTAGGTAACCTAGGCATTAGGCTCACATTAGTCATGTCTCTTTCATTGACATTCATCATGCCGCATCACTCATGAGTCTTCATATAATTTAAGTTTGATATCCTTTGGTAGATAACCAAGATATATGTTCACTATATATATCACTATATATATGCTTATGCACTTTCCTCGGCTATCAACCTAGGACTAGCTAGGTCTACACCTTTAGCCTATGAGGTCCCTTTATACGACGAGGTAACATATAGTTCCTAATAATGATCCTCTTGTCGGGACTAGACTAAAGGCACCAAAAAACTCAAGATAATAGAACTATGGGATCTTGATTGTGGGGGCGTCATACTCACTTGATAAGCTAATTTCTATCCTATGATCGTTTACTTATCTTGTCACTTTATTCATCTAACTTACAATAATAATTTCTAAAAACCAAATCAATCATAAGATCATTAACAAGAAAAAAAAGACTAAACATATCTAAATAATAAAAAAAGCAAATTGAATTCTACTCTTTATTAAACTAAACTAATTCAAAAGCATTATCAAATAACCCCTAAAATCAAATTAATTTAATGTAAACAATTAAAATAATTACTAAAATAAAATCAATCATAAAGTTAAATAAATCTAAGTCAACCATACATTAAAGTATAATAAATAAGAGGAAATTAAGTTTAAAATAATAAAATTAACAAATTAAGACTCAATTGAAATAATAGTAAGCAAATGACTTAAGCATTAGAAATTAATTAAAAATTTAATAAAATTTTAAATAAATTTCTATAAGCACATAAAATCATAACGAACAATAAAATAAATAAATATTTTGATAAACTCTTCACTTTCACCGTCTAATTTAATCAATTTTTCAATAACCTAGCTAGAGACTAAGAAATTAACAGAAAATAAAATAAACATCAGAAAAAATATTAAATAATTTTTTTGTGAACTCATAAAATCACAGAAATTAATTAACTAAAAAATATTTCAGTTAATAACACATCATCACCTCCAAATTAAATAAATTCTTGATTGAATTGTAATTTAGAAAATTAATTAAAATCTAATAAAAAATAAAAAAAACCAAATTTCTATATACCCATAAAATCATAACAAACAATAGTCTACATAAATTGGAGTAATATTAAGTCAAAAAATAAAATTTTCTTTATAAGAATTTTAAAAATTGAATATCTTTTAGTTTTAAGAGAAGCTATTTCGATCTAAGAATAAAAGAAGATTATAAGATTATATCATTAAACTTTTTATTTCAAGAAAGATTATGTTATTTTTCTTTTAGTTATATTTCTTCTCATTGGTCCATATATGTGGGAGAGAAGCTGGTGATGTTGCTTATATATATAGCATTACCCTCATTCTACTAATCAATGTAAACATATTGATATCTTATTATCATTTATGTTATATAATTGTAATATAAGAAATTTTTAAAAGTTTAATAATCTTTTAAATAATTAATTTAAAATTAAAATTATTAATCAAAATGATAAATATCTTGCAAAACTGTCATTGAAGTATGGTAAAAGTATTTTTTATTAATGTTCCATTTAGTTAGGCATAACTCATAAGACAAGAAACAATAAAATATCATGCAAAAATGTCTGTATCGACAAATAATCTAAATATGATGGTAAATTGCTAGGTGCAATTCTCGTGTTGCCAGTGACTGTTGCCTGTTGGCGAGTAACTTTGCGAGGCTAATCTTTGCTAAGAAGGAGAATCGTTGGGGACTTGGGCAGATTTATACAAGTTCCTTGAAGATTCTATCAAGAACAACTCTTCTATTTTACCAACATAGACAAGTCACATTTTCAAATTAGGAGAGAGTATTCTGTGTGGAATCTGAATGTATTTGGAGACGAATTGGGGCGCGCCACGTCATCGGATGCACAGGGCTCCGATGACGTAGCGCAACCCAATTTGCCTCCGAACACATTAGGGATTCCGCACAGAATAATTTTCCCCAAACTTGGGAGTGCCTATGGAGGGTGAGGTGATTATTTTGGCTGAGTCGTGTTGCTAGAACCTACAAAGTACCTATGAAAAATCTATGTGGACAAATATAAGCATACAATATTATATATTACTTGTTCTAGGAGTAAGGTATGATAGAAAAATAATTCAAAAATAAAATATGATAATACTAACAAAAACCTTAATTCGAAACAAAATATAAGAGCAAATAAACAATGCAAAAATAAAATGAAAAAAAAAAAATCGAATGTTGTTTGGCATTAATTAAAGTGGGAAAAAAAGAGAGCTATAAGCCTATTACCACAAAGTTAATGGGGCATATATTCTTTCATATAAAAAATCTTGACAAGCAATGCACAGCACAAACCTCGTTGTCAAAAGTTGCTTTGATTTTTTTTTTTATTTATATATTTATAAATATCATTTGCTTTATAAAAACTTTGAAATTGACTTTATTCTTTCATCTTGATTACAACTGACATGAATTAGATTAATTTTTTGGGAAAATTTTGCGGTAGAAACCCATTCATTCAAGTTTTTTTAAAAAAAGTGTAAAAGAGAAAACAAAAACCAAGCAAACTTACGGAAAACAAAACTGGTAGTTGTGGGTCAGATAAATCAAAACTTTGCAAGAGCGAAATTTCACAACAAAGAAGGAAAAATGAACTAAGAGAACTCAAAATCCTCAGCAAAACGCGAAACCCCATCATGCAGAAAGAGCATAAAAAGCTCCTTATTGCTTAGAAAGACCATCGAGGAAAAGCTGGTAGTGTAGAAACTCTTGATATGAGTTTCTTGAATTAAGGAAAGCAAGAAGATGAGAATAATAGCAAGAGCATAACAGTGAAAGAGAAACAGAGTATTTTCTTATTACCGAACTAATGAATACACAGGGTTTAAATAAATAGCTTAGGTACATAGATGGCTATATAACAGGCAACATAAGTTTATTTAAGTATGCTGCTCTAATATCCCCCAACAAACTGATGATTTATCAACAATTGTCAGTTTGTTCCGAAGAGTTTGAAACCGAGGAGTTGATAATGCCTTTGTTAGTATATCTGCTGTTTGATCAATAGTACTTATAGGTAAAAGACGAATAGTGTTTTGATGAATATGGTCCCGTATAAATC